ATCGACGCCGTAATGAAGTTGTTCGCGCTTGAAGAACAAATCCGTCCAAGAGTCCCGCTCCACGCGAGCGATTGCTTCAATGCCATCCAAAAACTTGCCCAAAGCGGCCCCGTCGTCGACGTTTTCGAGCACTGGACGTAGGTCTGGACGCGCCCACCACAAGAGGATCACAAGCTGCATGTACGACTTGCCAATGCCAGCATTGCCAACCACAACAATGCGATGCTCCGTACACGCGATCATTGCCTTGATCATCTTGACTGCGAATGATCGGATGAATACGACTTGGCTTTGTACTGTATCACTGATGATGATTCGGGCAAACGGTGCGGCTTGCCAATGCCAGTATTTCCAACCACAGCAATGCGGGGCTTCTTGCATGCGGTCATTGCATTGACCATCGCGACAGTGAAAGGCCGGATGAATACAACGTGGCTGAAAATCAGAGTGGATCGTGGCAAACGGTGCGGCAAGCAGACCACCTTTCGGATCGTGAACGTGGTGATACAGCCTGGAACAGGTTCAGCGATTGGAAGGTCCTCGATTCTGTCGACTGGATTGATGGGAGCGGTGCAAAGCGCGTGAAAGAAGTTGGAGTCTATCATGTTTGGTTAGAAGTGCAGAAGATCAAGGGGCGCTTACCAGACAACTTTGGTTTCACAGTTGAGACGAACGCTTGCCAAGCCTTGTTGCTGAACACTGATACAGGGCTTTCCACAGCTCCTTGTGTTTCGACGTCGTCTCCACGTTGGCGCTTGTTTGATGTGAACGGAGCAACCACCAAGATGGCATTTGCCAAATGTTCGCCATAACCTTCAACCCTTGCATCGGCAGCAAGAGGAGCATCATTGCGGGCAAACGCGGCCTGGTCGGCGTAGACAGAAAGGGCAGGTGGGGCGATTCAGGGTTAACTTAGTTCAGGATGATTGGCTAAGCGATTCCTCAGAACAAATTGTAGCCAATCGGCACGGCCTTCACATTTCAAGTGAAGTACTTTTACTGGATGTTTGTATTGAGTCAAAACATATGATCGCTTGAATTATAACCAATCAGAATTGACTACACCCCGTGTAGTGTCAATTCATGGGCTCATAAAAGCTCACGCCCGTTGTCAATTCATTATCGGACGTCGATGGCAAGCAACCGACGTGTCTGGGTTACTCTGGTTGATGGCAAAGGTGCCCAGCTGATGTCGCCAGGCAAAGTGAACATCTCCCCCGACAGCGACGTCGACGATGTTAAACAAGCTGTGGAGGCCATGTACCGCGGCAGCGCCTTGGAGAGAATCACTCGAACTGACCTTTCTGTCTACGCCGACCAGGCCGCGTTTGCCCGCAATGATGCTCCTCTTGCTGCCGATGCAATGGTTGAAGGGTATGGCGAACATTGGGCAAATCCCATATTGGTGGTTGCTCCGTCCACATCAAACAAGCGCCAACGTGAAGACGACCTGTTTCAGTGTTCAGCAACAAGGCTTGGCAAGCGTTCGTCTCAACTGCAAAGCCGACGTTGTCTGGTAAGCAGCCCCTTGATTTTCTGCACTTCTAACAAAACATGATAGACTCCAACTTCTTTCACGCGCTTTGCACCGCTCCCATCAATCCAGTCGACAGAATCGAGGACCTTCCAATCGCTGAACCCGTTGAGGACTGTATCACCACGTTCACGGATCCGATTACGAAGGTCCAGGTGGTCTGCTTGCCGCACCGTTTGCCGCAATCCGCTCTGATTTTCAGCCACGTCGTATTCATCCGGCCTTTCACTGTCGCGATGGTCAATGCAATGACCGCATGCACGGAACCCCGCATTGTTTTGGTTGGCAATGCTGGCATTGGCAAGTCGTACATGCAGCTTGTGATCCTCTTGTGGTGGGCGCGTCCAGACCTACGTCCAGTGCTCGAAAAC